AAGGGTACAAAGTGCTCGAGATGAGGGGTCTCCGGGGGCCCCCCGGAACATTTTTGATTTCTAGAAGCCTTGAAATGCGTTTTCCTGCTATTTTGGAGGCATATTTTGACACTTTTTCTGCTTCAAAATATGTGTTTTTTGCCAGCAGCTATCCTAAATTTTGGCTCAAACCACTGACCTATACAAAATATTTCAGAATCTTCACTGACCACCGTCAAATATGTGTATATCAATTAACAAAATTGCTGATATAATGCAGTTAACCTAGCTGCTGACCTGGGGTCTCGAGTGGTTTTCCTTGCTATAAACCACAAATCAACAAATAATAAACAATATTTATATATTAAACTATAAATTTTTAGAAACTGATTTTATTTGTAATGCGTGAGATTTCCTTGTCACTGCGTGAGAACGTGAGACGGCGTCTGAATGCGTGAGACTCACGGCGAATGCGTGAGAGTTGACAGCTCTGCTATATATATATGTTATTATGACCATTAATGACATTAAAGTTGAGAACACTCCTAATGGAGTATCACCCTGAATCTGCTATTGCTGGTTCAAGGATATAAGACTAATTAAGAGCTGTTTTCAATTCATTTTCGCAATGTGCGACATGTGCAAATGTGGACAGCTCTGATATCATTGGGCCCTGACTGATGTTTGGTTACATTATATTGGCCTTTGTCGCCCATCAGTTATCGTGTCAAAGTGTCATGAGCCCCTCACGTGATACATTATCTTGTCACGAGTGTCAGCGTGCTCACTCCTAACAAGTCCGAGTCATTCTCCTGTCATGTTATTATTGTTATTATTAACTCTTTATTGCAATCTTTTTGCATGTAATTCAAATACAAATATATACGTACTGAAGACATTCTTTTTCATGGAGAAAAAATCTGATAAATGCAATAGTGTTGAGCAGTTCAAATAATAAACTTTCTGAGTGATACAGTACAAAAACAGTGCTATACAACATGAAGAAACATATATACAAAAACATGTCGTTCTCCTATTCGTAGCACCAGGAGCAAAAATAACTGCAAACATCACAGAAAGTTGTCCGCACGCAGACGTTATAACTCCGCTTTGCTAATCTGAGGGTGCGGGTTTAACCCATTACTGGGGTCTGCGTCGGCTCGGACTACACAGAAGGCATTACAGGAGTAAATATTAATAATAACACATTTGTGATTACTTTATATTTACTCCTGGTAGCACCTGATCATTCGAGCATGGTCATCAGCATTGCTTTCGACATGTATCATCGTCAAAGAATTTCTTCAGTTCTGTCATCCCATATTCATATTGAAATTATCTGCAAAATTGATTAGGTTATTTCTAATTATTTATTTTATTATTTATATATCCCTTGGACTCTAAAGACTTAAGTGGCTTACGTTCGAATTACATGCAATAAAGATTTAATTTACAAATTATTTTTTTTTAAATGGCTGTATGAGTTTACGAGGTTATATGTCCTGTTAGTAGCACTAGGCACTATATTTGTAGGTGTTGTTGTAGGTTGGTATATACGTTTTAAAAATGTAAGGCAATGAAATGGAAATCACAGTAGATATAAAAATGCAACCCTACATTACATATATACAATAACATAAACCAACGGTTTATAAGGATCAACAATAAAATACAATAAAACGATCAATGTAACCCTTCAGTAGATACAATATATGAATAATTTATGGGAACATAACTTTGGATAGAGTCGATTTTTTTTCCTCGACAACGTTTACCGGCTAATGTCGCAGCAAACGGTTGCAGAAAAAAATTACGCGCGATATCATTTTCGTCTGCGTTACAGAGTGACGCCACGTGAGATGCGATCGACGACAGTCACAAGCCACGACCCGGCCGAGAGCGAGGAGTGACGCAGACGTAGACACGAGCGGAAGCGCTCACGCACGCGAGCGAGCGATGCGGTTTCTCTCGTACGTGCCGTTCGTGCGCGCCGTGCGCTGGAAGCCGTGTGCACGCGGCGCGGCAACGGCGGCGCGTCTGCTCGTCGTCGTTGTCGTGGCGATGCTCGTCTGGCACGGGATGCTGTCGGTCATCTACGTTCCTAAGCTTGTTAGCGACGCGCGCAACGTCAGCGGATACTTTCACATCCCCGTGCGCATGCTCCGCGGCGACGGCCTCCACTTCATCCTCGACCACCCGCAGACGTGCGGCGGCGGAAGACGCCTTCACGTGGTGGCGCTGATCGTTAGCGCACCGCGTAACCACGCCAACCGCGACACCATCCGCGCGACGTGGGGCGCGGCGCTGCGGCGGCGTCACGGCGACGACGACCCCAGCGCGTTCCTATTCGTCCTCGGCGACCCGCGCAACGCGAGCCTGCAGGCGGCGCTCGCCGACGAAGACCGCCGCCACGGCGACCTCATCCAGGCAGACTTCATAGACAGCTACTTCAACATGACACTGAAGCATCTGGTCGCGCTGCGCTGGGCCGTGCGCCGTTGCCGCGGCGACGTCAGCTTCGTGCTGAAGACGGACGACGACGTCGTCGTGAACACGCACCGTCTGCTGCCGTACCTGTCGTCGCTCCCGGCAACCGACGAGGCGCTGCTCTGCTACGTGAACAAGAACCCGAGGGTGTTTCGCGACGAGACGAAGTGGCGCATCTCGCGCGCGCTCTACGCAGCCGCCACGTACCCGGACTACTGCGCGGGGCCGGCGTACGTCGTCACGCCCCGCGTCGCCGCACGACTCTTCGACGCCACGCTCGCGATCCGCCCGATGTTCGTCGACGACGTTCTTGTGTCGGGGATCGCGCGCCTGCACGCGGGCGTGCGTCTCATGCGCGCCCCCTACCAGCTGCGCCCCGCTGACTTCACGATGTGGGAGCCGGACCCCCTCGCGACGTTCGCCCGGGCAGCGGAGGACGGTGGCGCCCTCCCGATGTTTGGCGCATTGCAGGGTTACGCGGGTGACAACAAGACGGACGTGATGCGAGCGATCTGGGACGTGATTGAGGCGACGCAGCGCCGCCGCCGCGGGTGACGCCCCCTGGTGGGTCGCCAGGACGCGAGCGATCTGGGACGTGATTGAGGCGACGCAGCGCCGCCGCCGCGGGTGACGCCCTCTAGTGGAACGCGCGTTCTACAGATAACGTAAGCTAGCGTCTAGACGCTTTGACACGTTCGGCTGGGCCCAAGTAACTGTACCTGTTCCGTGAATAATACAGAGCGGCAGCGGCCGAAAGCCCCGACGATCGCTCGGCCGGACGTGTGTGACTATAGGGGGCGCACATGTCGGCGTGACGTGCCATGATGGCGGCTATCTGCGAGGGAGAGCGTTCGCGTGGCATGGGAGTAGCGTTACGTGACGAGCGAAGCGTGTTCGCCGCGGAGCGGGACGACGACGACGACGACGACGACGCACGGTAACGGATATAGGTCAACGTGATTCCACTAGTCATTCGTTTCCCTCCCTCATAGCATCATTTTCATTCAGTTTCCTAGATTTTTTTCCCCTCCTACGTTCCTAGTACCTCCTACGTTCCTGCCTCGAAAATGCTCAACTGATGTACTTACTGTGAGTGTATGATCTGTTGGTGGTTACTGTTGCCATACCAGGCCTGCTCTGGTGCTCTCTACCTTTGTGGTCGGGTAGGAGTATGCTATGTATGCTGCCGCTGGGATATATTAACTCGATTTAGGATTCCTAGGTGGGACTCGGTACAAAAAAATTTCAAGGAGTTTAGTTGTGTCAGTGTAGTTATATTAGTACAAAAGCACCCTTGAATGCAGACGATTTTTTAAATCAGGGGAAAAAGTAAGTAATCGGATCGGAAACCATGCACAGTGACAGTAACTAGCTCATTATATTGCATTATAGATTAATTTTATCTAGGGTGGGAACGATCTTGTAGTTGATAATGAACTCAATTTGGGATGTATAGCAACTCTGGTCTAGGGTCTGTTTATTCAACAGTTTCGTAATTGTTGCATGCATATCACCATCATGTCAGGGCGGTAGCTAGCGGTGGGGCAATGGTGGCAGGTGTCCCCACCCGTATAGAAATGTAGTCTATGCAGTATATTGTCAATAACGATCATCTTCCCAGAACACACCACGCATGTGGCTTTGCCCACTTCCCAGACTAAGTAGATTAGCTATGCTCCTGCATATATCTATGTATCCAACTATCCATGCGTACTATTCTTTAGAAATATGCTCCTACACGTTATAAATGAAATTCATTTTAAGTGCAAAAATAACAAATACTTATAATATTCACTCATACCTGTTTAACCAGAAACTTTAAACTCGTTTGTTAATATATATACGTAAATTTTGTCGTTATAAACGCATCGTATGTATAGTACGCATTGTAAGCTCAACCTTAGCCCCTTTCTATAGTGTTTGCACATGGGTGTATATCAAGAGTAGATAATAGTAGATAATAATCTCCCATTATCTACTCTTGGTGTATATCCGTCCTAGATGTGTGCAATAGCATTATCCTAAAATATGATCATGATATTATCAATATTATCATTTACTTCTGATGTTATACCGGTGTTAAACGAATGTCTGCAATTGCCCATTTACACAAACCAAAGACTTTGATATTGCCAGCCGTATTAAATATTCTACTATTATATTTCGTTTCCTCAGAATTGCAGTACAATTATGTATAAGATAATATAGATCAACGTTATAATTATAACCATACCCGACGACAGGTGGCACTAGTGGGTGTACAATGCAAACGTACTTATATTTCGCAATGAATACAGACAATATATTATATATATATATATATATATCAAGAGTACATAATAGAGAATCACTGTTTAGAATATTCTTTGTATCCTACCATTATAATCTAGACCTATATAGACATGTTCACGTTGATACTCATTCAGTTTGTGTTCACAAGTATTATATACATCACAATACATGTGTCATAGTTTGTATATTTTCGCTCAATGAAATGTCATGCGCAAAGAATATGCGCTGCACTATAATAATTAATTTTGTGCAATGGTCATTCACAGGTTAGCATGCACGAATAAAGCAATGTATACTACCAGCAATACATGTACACTTACAGAAGCCATACCCTGCAGGCGAGAATAAAAACAAAAAAATGTGTTTTTATTCTCGCCTGTTAAATCCTCCTCATCTTCTCATCGCCTTCTGTCCTTACTCCTTAAACCGATGTGATTTCAGTAAGAAAGGAGGTGGGAGGGTGGGGGGATACCTAGAAGGTGGGAGGGTGGGGGAATACCTAGAAGAATGTTGTAAGGTTTTGCGCATTTTTGAACTTATCGAGTTGGTTACCAGTCATAATATATCTACCGTATATATACATTCAGGAATGAATAATAATCGATTTTTCACTATTAGTATTCACTCCTGTATACATGTATATATATATGTATATATCAGGGGTTAATAATGACACAATTTGTCATTATTAACCCCTGGCATATATATCAGTGTTCGAAATAAGGAAAAATTTTGCTTGTCCGAGGGACAAGCTACAAGATATCTTTGCTTGTCCTGATTTTATAACAGAAATATAGTAAATGTGTAATACATTTAATCAAATTAAATTTTAGACCCAATATCTTACTTTGTAATTTTAATACAGTTCACTAACAGTTCAAATTAGGCACAAAACTTGAAAGAACATAAAGAAGCACAATTATTTATTTTAAGTTGTACAAAGTTGAAGCGATGGTAGAAAATGATGAAAAGTTGCTCTAAAAAGCTGCTTGTCCAGCAGACAAGCTACTGGACAGGTCTACTTGTCCTCCGTGGAAATGGACAAGTGAGGACAAACGGATAGCCCTTATTTCGAACACTGTATATATATATATATACATATATATATGTATTATATATATACGGGACTAGAGCGACTACTGCTGGATGTGAGTGTGTGTAGATCTGGCGAGCAGCTGCTTGAGGTGGTCGGTACGTAGCAGCAGCTTCGGTATCTTCGTCTGGTCGTACGACGAGCCGCTAGTCTCATGTATGTAGCGGTGCAGGGCTGCGAACGTTCCCTGCAGCACCTGATGCACCTCCATCGCGCCGATGCCGTAGATCTCACTGCGTTCTATCTTGTAGATCTGCACGTCGCGTTGTAACACGTCGTCCAGCTGTAAGATCAATGGCGTTCACGTCTTATACTCTGATATCAGTCCTGAGTATCATAATATAGACTACATTATGTCTATATAGTCTATATTATGTATATATTATGTCTATATTATGTCTATACTATGTCTATACTATGTCTATATTATGTCTATACTATGTCTATAAAGTCTATATTATGTCTATATAGTCTATATTATGTATATACTATCAGGAGCTAATAATGACAATTTGTCATTATTAGCTCCTGATAGTATGTCTATAGTATAGTCTATATTTCTATATAGTCTATAGTCTATACTATGTCTATATTATGTCTATACTATGTCTATATAGTCTATATTATGTCTATATAGTCTATATTATGTATATACTATGTCTATAGTATAGTCTATATTACTATATAGTCTATAGTCTATATTATGTCTATATAATCTATATCATGTCTATACTGTGTCTATATATATTATGTCTGTATAGTCTATATTATGTCTGTATAGTCTATATTATGTCTATACTATGACTATATTATGTCACTCCTGCTGATATTGCATCTATCTGTATTTTGGCCACCACTGTGAGTTCGTGTGTGTCAGTTCTCCAAGGAGACAAAAAAAATAGAATTGTTGTAAGAAGTCAATGATGTCAGATGGGGATCAGGAGATTGTGAGATGGAGTCGGTTGTTTGTGTGTGAATGATTGTAATCTATTATTCGCGTTGTCAATCTCGCTTTTACCTCCTCCCTCTCTCCTTCTCTCTCTCTCTCTCTCTCTCTCTCTCTCTCTCTCTCTCTCTCTCTTTCTCCGTCTCCTCTCTCTCTGCTCTTCTCGCTCTCTCTCTTTCTCTCTCTTTCTCTCTCTCTCTCTGCTGCGAACGTTTCCATAACAACCTTGTTCCTCTGCTTGGCAGTGAGGAAGTTGTTGTTGCTTGAGTCGGCTAGCTCGAAGAAGACGATATAATGTGGCAGTAGCAGTGGCGTTCCGTCTGCAACAATTGTGATACATATTGCAAGGTACGTGTTTGCGTGTCAGCGAGATAGAGAATGAGAGAGGGAGAGCGGGGAGGAGAGAGAGAAAGAAAGAGAGAGAGAGAACAGAGAGAGAGAGAGAGAGAGAGAGAGAGAGAGAGAGCAGATGAGCAGGAGAGAGAGAGAGAGAGGTGAGAGAGAGAGAGAGAAGAGGAGGAGAGAGAGAGAGAGAGAGAAGAGAGCAGAGAGAGAGAGAGAGAGAGAGCGCGAGCGAGAGCAGAGAGAGATAGAGAGAGAGAGAAGAGAGAGAGAGAGAGAGGAGAGAGAGGGGAGACACAGAGAGAGAAAGACATTCAGTTAGACAGGCATGCAGGCAGGGAGACAGACAGGCAGGCAAATTGATAGACAGACAGTCAGACAGACAGGCAGGTAGGCAATCTGTCTAGACACATCTCTAGACAGACAGCATCATAATATAATACGAGCAATGATTATGTGCGTGTCGACACATAAGTATAAAGTACGTACTAGCGTAAAGTAAAAGGCACACTCCAATGAAGACATCACACACACACACGCACGCACTCACACGCGCACACACGCACGCACACACACGCACGCACGCACGCACACACACATGCGCGCACAGACACGCACGCACGCACGCACGCACGCACGCACGCGCGCGCATCTCGTGAGATTACTGACCTCGCAGTTTGTCGGCCAGGGCGCTAGTGCAGCAGGTAAAGTCAACGATGGAGGTGCCACCCCAATACGTGTTCGCACATTCCTTTAATGCATTCATCATCGCTTGTTCACTGACACGCTCCCCGCGCAGGCTGAGTAGTTGACTACGTCTAGAATACAAAAGCATTTGTTAGCATGTGTACCGATGCGAAGATGTTGAAAGCAATGAGGAGATGTGTGCAGAGAGAAATTTGCATAAGCAATCAATATGATACATGGGAATAACTCAGGCTATTACAGGCTCTAACCCTAACCCTAACACTAACTCTAACCCTAAACATAACCCTAACGCTGACCCTAACCCTAAACCCAATCCTAACTCTAACCCTAACACGATGCTAACAGAAGATAACTGCGCTGCAATGCGCCAAGTCATGCGAGATTCAATTTGTTGATCAATCATGTCGAATTCAAATTGTAATTTACGAGTCCTTCGCGAAATGGGAAAGCTGCACTCGACACATCTACGTACGCACCGGGCGACAAACTCGAAGATAGGACAGGAGTTTGTGAAGCCAGCAACCTTGAGGAGGTCTCCCTGCTTGTAGCGATACAAGGATCGTCCGCTGGTGACGAGCAGTTCGTACGTCTCCCCGTCTCTCACCTGCACCGAGAATGAGAGAGGATACGAAGAATAGAAA